ACACCGATTCCTGCCCTTGGACAGCCCCTTCAGTTGCACCAGTAAGTTAAAGCAGAGAATTGGCAATGGCTTAAATGTTAGCTTTCGTATCAACAGAAATGAGGGGCAATATAAAGTAGAATGCATGTCCAAGGGAAACAGAGGCAGCTGCTTTAGCTGTGTGAGAAATACCCATGAAACAATCTTGGACTGTTTCAACTGTCACAAAAGAGGCTGTTTCTTCATCATGGTTGAATGGAAGACAACTGACACATTAGCTGGCACAGCGAAAGTATAAAGTATTATTAACAGTATATATAATTATTAATTATTACTAAAGCATACTTAAAAGTATATCTAAGAGTCTTCTCTTTAACTAAATTATCCTGACATATCACGGTGAAGCAATCCTGTATATCATTTAAAGCATAACATTTTAAAATAAAAAAAAAAAAAAAAGCCAAATCACAAAACCAAAACTGTTCTGTAAGAGAAAATATTTGACCTAAAAAGATTCACACATAAATACCAATCTTAGTAAGACTGGAAGCTTAGATATATATTATGCCCTTATACTAATACTTCGGTCTTGTATTTTGAGGTACCCAAAATTATCAAATCCCAGAAATTATGTTCTGAATAGATAAGAAAACTGAGAAAATGACACAAGTATTTCAGCCTGCCCTATTGCAAAGCTCTAATTACTGGACAGACAACAATCCTTTAACTATCATTATTATCAGCTCTCTTCTCCAAATGTTATTAAAAAACCCCAAACCAACAAAAGCCCCATACTCCGGAAAGAACATCAGTTACTGGGCAAGCAGAAACATTTCTATGAATAATAAGGGCATATTAACTTTCTTGTGAAATGGTGTTGTTAAAATAAAAATAAAAAATATGAACCAAGCTGTTTTATGTAAATTGTCAAGTTCTGGAACTAAGATGCATCACAGAGCAAAACATTTTCTTTGGTCATTAAATTTACAAAGCCACGTAAGACACTGCGCCGTGCAAGCACCTAGACATTATGCCTCTAGTGTAACTCATTATACTGTTCCTTGAGCATATATGCAAGTAATTTTAAGGAATATTCAAGGTGTGTATTGCAAAGGACTCTTCCTTCTACCTACTCCTGCTTAAGCTGACTACCTGCTATGGTGAACAGCATCTGCACACTCATGAATCAGAGAGACTGAAGTAATGAAGAACTATTGCTGTGCCATACTAACGCTAATCCTAGACTGATACTATCATGCACTTTTCTTAGTATAACTTGATTACATTTGCAGGATGTTGCTTTAATACAATGCAAATTGCTATATACAATGCAATATGCTGCTGGTATAACTTTGGGAGTATTTTGTTGATGCTCTCAAGGTAATAAAGTTATATATTCAGTTGGATGGAACTGCATAACCACCTAAGCAGCAAAACCGGTTCTTCCTGGGTTATAATAAAAAAATCAAATATGCTTGGTACCTCCACGTTGATATACTTTAGGTTTTTGCAGCTACTTAGTCCTTCCAGAGCAACTAGTCCACAGCGCCTCAGAGTCAAAACTTGAAGATTTGAACACTCGGATAACGTTGAGAGGCTACAAGCTGGCAAATCTTCGAGTGTAAGTGTTGTGACCTACATGCATTTATTCATAAATAAAATTATTTGTTTGTATATTGAACATTCATTGTACAATGTCACATTATGGTTATTTTCTTTAAAAGGAAAAAGAGACCAAAAGTACATTCTATGAACATTTTAGAAAATGCAAGCAACTAATGTTAATCCTTTCATATAGAAAAGGATGACAATGATGAGTTTGATCTGTTAAATGGGAAAAGTTATTATGAAAACAATCTGTTTGATTTTAACATCCACCTTAAAATAAATAAAACTGGTGCTTTGCTAATGACATTGAATTTGAATGGACGGAAGATTAACACTAAGCAAAGCATTAGTAGTGTGAATTGTTTCCCATCACACTATCATAAATAACAAGTAAGTGAGTGCACAAGAACGGACAAGAATAGCTCAGACTAAAAGTGTATGTAGTCTAGCATGTCATCTCGGAGTGGATACCAAGATGAGAGCACAGAGCAAGCATACAGTGATCAGTTTGTAAGCAGTAAGATAATTAAGTGCTGGGAATCAAGAGATGTTCTTTATGGCAAAACACCATCTATAAGCTGATCAGCAGTGTCTTGCTTCTGGAAGAGACTAGTCTTCTCAAAACTCTGAAGGGGCTAGATGAGCAGGAGCTGAAATGTGGACCCTCATACAAAGGCAAAACCATGTTAATTTAGCAGAAAATAGGAGCTAGGAGCTCCTGCCTTTTACAGACTTAAGACACTATCAATCATCTGAAAACTAGTACCACACCAGTCTACTCCACAACACTCACAGGAATTCAAAAGTCATTCTCATCGCCCTTATTCTGCATTTGTGCAGAGGAACTCTCACTGAGATCTATATCCTGCTCAACGATAATCCCCTCCTCTTCCAAAAAAGCATTCTGGTGACACACGAAATGTACAAAAAAAAAAAAAAAAGTAATGGTATGGCTTCCCATTTCATTCTAAATCTTCTGTATAGTTAGTTACCTGCTGCAGAGTACTCCAAGGGCCACTATGAATTATCTTTTGTGTACTTAATGGAGGCATCTTGCTAACTGAACGTTTCCTTGGTCGTTTTTTTATAGTTGCTTGCTTTCTTTGGTTTTCTTCATGTATTTTAGACCACGATTTACATGTGTTCATCCAGTTTATCCTCTTCTTTTCAATATCATCAGGAAGAATTAGTCTACTGGAACACTCAGCTACATCTTGAATTCTGTCCCAGGTCTCTCCGACTCCCTCATTAGTATCTTCCATTAGAAACAGAGTTTTCTCCACTGTTTCAGACTGAGAAAATTGATCTTTGAGTTCTCTATTACTAGCATTTGGCTGGACATTTGGTGGACTGCTGCATATATTGTTTGCCTTATTTTCTATCATGTCATTAGCTCCAAAATTAACAGATTCATCCTTTGAAGTATGATTATTTGGAGCTTTATTAAGATCTCTAGTTTGTGAGTAATTTTCTTCTACATGTGTTACTGAATTAACGTATATGTTGTCATTATTTACTTGAGAAGAGTGTTCCTTCTTCTCAAAGCCTAGCATATTTGGTGTTGGTGTCAAATTTGTTTCTGCTGGAATCATCCAATTATTTGTTTCATCCATCGTTTCAGTCTGGTTTTCTTTTTGTTCCTCTACTTGGTTATTTAATTCCTTCTTCTGTTCTCTTATTAATTTTGTGTTTTCTGTCTGCTTATCCTCTTCTATATTTTCTTTGTTGTTTTCTCCACTTTCACTCATCAGAGCTTTTGCTCTTTTTTCTCCTAGTTTTCTCTGTTCTTCTCTTCTTATTTGCAGCTGTTTTTCTCTTTCAAGTCTCAGGCCTTCTTTCTTTTTCTCATATTCCTCACGCCTCCTCACCTGTTCCAAATATTCCTGTCTTTCACGTTGTTCTCGTCTCTTTTCTTCCTCTTCTTTCTTTTGCCTCTTTTCTTCCATTTGCCTCCTCCTTTTTTCCTCTTTTTCTTTCGTTTCTCTCTCTATTTCTTCCAGTACTTTCAGCTTCTTTTTTATTTCATCTTTCCATTCTTTTAAGATTGGAGCATATTTTTTACGGACTAAAAATGATCTAAATCTAGCTTGTATTTTCACAGCTGCTGTATTCCGTTGTTCTGCCAGGTGTTGTCTTTCTTTTGCTTTCTGCTCTTCTAACGCCTTTTTTCCCTCTTCCATTTGCAACTGTAGCTTCATGATCAGTTCCTAGGCCAAAACAAGTAGGATAGACTTAGGCTACTTTTAAAATAGGACAGGTGTTGGCACATATTTATCATTAATAAACAGAATCTGGTGTATTAACTCTTCCAGAATAACACTTATTCTTGAATATATCATAGTAACCTCACAGTCATTTGACAAAAACTCATTGTACAACCTTACCTTATGTTGCATTATTTTGTCTCTCCAAGCTCTCTTTTCTTTCTGTAACTCATCTTCCACCACAGTTTGTTGTTTCTGCACAACAAATTAACTTAGATGAATATTGTACAAAACCTGGAACATCACAAACCCCCCTCTCTCCAGTCTCCCCCACCTTCTCGACTTCGCAAGGATCTACTTTTGCAAATGTCTGAATTAAAATGAGAAACTCAGCTGTGTAAGGATCAAAATAAGCAACTGGACACTCTGATCAGTAATACAGCTTTGGTCACGTACTGACAGATGCATATCTTCAGAGAGTCAGCATCTTGGTACTGACCCAAACAACTGCCACTTTCCTCTCCAAATTCTGTACTGCTGTTGAAGATGAAAACTATGCTTATGAAACCAACATTCAAACTACAGCTAGATAATAGCAACATAACAGAAACAAAGCTCTGAAAGTAGCATGAACAGTCCCCCTTTAATTGCACTAGTATGTTAACTGATAATCGCATAATCTTTCAAACATGAATTTTGTTCAATGAAGTTAAATTTTTTTTCACTGAAATTGTTTCTCAACAGAAAATGAAAGCTCAAGTCTATTTTCTCACTATTTGCAAATAAATAGCATTTTCCCCCTCCCCAACATACTCTCAATCAGAAAAAAAAAAATTCCAAATGAGCTGGAATTACATCTGACTGAAAATTAGCAGGCAATAAGTACCTAAAAACTAGTAGCTGATCCAGAACCACCTGATTCCTGGTGGAACCAAGATAAACAAACTAGCACTTCCAGCTTGGACAAAGTCTCCCAGGTGCCTAAGCACTGCTTTTCATGCATATTCAGAAGCATGCTGTTCAGACAATGGGGGACTAGAAGTCTATATCCTTCTGTAATGGGGTAAAATTAGTCTCCATTTCTCACCACCACAAAAAGTGTGCTAGCAACAGCACTAGCGAAGTGTCCAAATGGGAACATGCCCCACCTTTTCTAGGGA